TTTTTTTTTAATTTTTTTTTCAACATTTATTTATTTTTGGGACAGAGAGAGACAGAGCATGAATGGGGGAGGGGCAGAGAGAGAGGGAGACACAGAATCGGAAACAGGCTCCAGGCTCCGAGCCATCAGCCCAGAGCCTGACGCGGGGCTCGAACTCACCGACCGCGAGATCGTGACCTGGCTGAAGTCGGACGCTTAACCGACTGCGCCACCCAGGCGCCCCATTGCTGGGGTTTTAAAGAGCAAGTTGAAAAGATGGTCAGGGAGAAACCATTTCAGAAACTTTTATCCTTGGGGATAAAAGTGGAAAAAAATGATGAATTAATTAAACCCTGAGTTATCTGGTAGCAGACAGTAATATTGCTACTGTATTTACAGGAGTATACGATTGATGTGTTTTGGATAATGTAGGAAAATTTCAGAAACTGAACTAAAATTTTGAAGCATTTGCATAGGTGGAAAAGATCAAGACAAGATTCTGGGAGGCTGGAACAATATAAATGTACCACAGAAGTGGAAACGAAGACAAGCGTTACATTATATTCATTTTTTATATTGGATGGAGGGTAGGGCATAATGGACCCCATAAATGATTCTAGAAGTGGAGAGCCTTGGGAAACCACGTTGGGTGAGGGCCTGGGTCAGGGTGGTGCCTAGGGAACAGAATGGACACAGAAGAGACACAGAAGATAAACATTTTGAGGATAAAACCATTTGTACTTATTTATGAGAAATTAAGCCCTCCCATTTGCAAAGCAATTTCACTATGCCATGTCCTGGCCTGGCGTTTCTTCTCATAGAATTTGTGTCAGGTTTAGCAGTGGTTCTTAATTCCACCAAAACAATGTCCCCTTATTATGACCATTATTTTAATAACCCCTTTGCTCCCCTCAAATGAAATTTATTATTAAATTATGTTATTAATTTATTAACATCTGCACACATAATTTTGAAAATATTAATATAATGCTTTATTATAATATAAAGGAAAGCTCAAAGTGGTTCATACTAAAATGTTTATTTTAAGGTATGGAAGCCCCCATGTGATTATACCAGAAGATATAATGATGTGGTCAGATATACATGTATATAAAATGTGGCAGCTACTGATGCAGACCCATACAGGTGTGTTGTGCTAATAACTTAAATACCACAAGTGGCATCGCCTTCAGTGACACAATTCTCCAAAATGGCGTGTGATGCTTGTTAAAGTCTCAAACAGAAGGAAATATAGTCTTCCCTCAGTTATCTGGTAGTTGCATCACCAAGAATTCTAAGTGTATAAAAACCATGCAGAAATACTTGGTATGGATGTGAGACAGAGTCAAGTTCTGTGCTCAAGTAATTATAAACTGGTTTCACCAACAAAAATGTCCACTGGCACTTTGGAAAGTCTTGAGTGGGACAGCTTTTTCATTGTCTAAAAGACTGAGGCATTGTGGGACATTTACCATTCCTGGATCTCGGCCATTAGACCAGAGATACCATGATAACTAAAAGTGCCCCCATGATTCCAGCAGCCGCAGAGGGGAGAGTATTGTCCTCCCCACCCCCGCCCGCTGAGAAGGCTGGCTGCATGTTGGCTCTCAGGTTTCAGCATGACTCAAGGACAGTGACAGACAGGGAAGTTGGGAGGGGAGGAGTTGGATGGCAAGCCCAGAAAAGGAGTTGGCTACAGAGCTTTCTTCCTCAGTCAAGAAGAGTCTTCACTTTCTTAAATACTTTAAATCTGGCTTTTCCAACCTGGTAAGAGTTTTAAGTTCTGAGCCCAGGTAGAAATAAAGTGAGGAAAAAAGATGATACTTGGTTTAGAATAAATGCAAACCCTTTCTGGCTTATTTACTTTAAATGCCAACAAATGCAGTATAATTCCCTGCCCTCCACGTTGGCTCATTGGCAGGAATGTATTATGTTTGAAGAATTTAGGAGAGATCTAGTTCTAACGTGAATCCTTGAAACATTTTTGAAATTTAATTCTTGTTTTTCTTTCAACTACAGATATGATCTCATTCCGTTTTTTTTTTTCAGTTTTGTAAAGTATGCAATAAAAGTCTAATCCCTCTCGGCATTTGCATTCTGCACAACTGAATGTGTTGAGCAGATGCGCGTGATTGTCTAGTATTATCACTGCATGTTGCCTTCTGCTTGGGTATCTTAAAACAAATCGAAGGACCTAGTCCCCCTTAGAGTACTTTCCAAAAGGTTTTGAGCCATAGATTTTCATTTCACAATGATAACGCACACGTACACCCTCTTTCACAAATATGAATGTGCTGTATTTAATTTGTAAATAGTCATTTGGCCCAAAGATACTGGGCACATTTCAAATGCATACCAATATTTGATATTCCAAGAACATAAATCTGTGTGCAGTGTTATTCCAAGACCAAGTTTACTTATTTGCCGATCAGAAGCATATTATTCACAGGACAACAGGTCAGGCATTGTGAAGAAATCAGAAGTGAACCAGACATTTGACACCCTTTAGGAGTCTGTTGTCTAGTAGGGATGATAAAATTTCACATATACTATCATAAGTAAGCACTGAACCATTGGAAAAGTAAGATGGAATGCTGACGGAGTTTCTAGGATGAAATACTACTTTCCTTTGAAGAAGGCTTCCTAAAGGAGGTAGAATGTTTAACTTAACCTTAAAAATTCATTAACATTTTTAAATTTTGAGGAATGGCTTTTTAAGCTGAAATACATGTGAACAGAATTTGTGTGTGTGTGTGTGCACCTGCACGTGTGTGCATGTGGCTTCTCAAAACTTAATAATATGAATTCTCCATTTATTGTCTGGATATAACTGACCTTGAATAATTGGTAATGCTATAAAGAAATCTCATTTGACATCACTACCTTTCTGAAAAAGTCCTCTAATTTAAGAACTAAAGATAAGCTTTGCTTTTTTCCATTGAAAAATTCCCTTTTACAACTCCAGATCTTGGGATGCCACTACCACATTTCAAAAGTCTGGAATGTACCTTTAACTGTACCTTTTAACTGTAAAGTGCAATCAGATATAAGGCAGATCTGCCAGGATTGTTATATAAAGAGTTCACTGGCTAAAATAGAGGAGTGTTCCTGTTATCAGGTGTTTCCCACGTGTTGAACTTGACAATACAGAAAATGAGCCAGAGCACCCAGGACCCCCTGTGGTTCCCATGCCCTCCCATTAGACTGTTCCCTGAGACTTGAATCATAATACTTCTGCTGCCTGGTTCCGGTCCAGACTTACTGTTGCATCCCCTGATTCCTCTGGCCTCTACCTGTAATCCTTGCCTACAGTCTGGAGATTTGATGAAGAGCAAGTTAGTCAACATGAAATCTTGGCCAAAAGAACAGGTTTGTTTTTTGAAGAGAGATATTTGCACCCCACGTTCATTACAGCTTTATTCACAGTAGCCAAAACAAGGAAACAACCTAAGTGTCCATCAGTGGATGAATGGATTAAAAAAAAAAAATGAGTTACACAAACAAGAGGGGAATATCATTCAGCCCTTAAAACAAAGGAAATCCTGCCCTTTGCAAAAATATGGATGGACATTGAGGGCATAATGCTAAGTGAAATAAGTCAGAGAAAGACAAATACTGTGTGTTGCCACTTATATACAGAATCTAAGAAAGCTGAACTCTTGGAAAGAGAGAGTAGAATGGTCTCTCACGGGGGTGGGAAGGGGTGGGACTGGGAAAATGCAAGTCAAATGGTACAGACTCCTGGCCCTAAGACGAATAAATCCTGGGGGATCTAATGTACAGTATGGTGGCTGTAATGAATGATGCCATATTATATACTTGAGAGTTAAGAAAGTAGATCTGGAATGTTATCACTGCCCCCCCCCCCAAATGTGGTAGTGATGGGGAGGATGGAGGTGTAACAATTCATCACATTGTATCCTTTCAACTTACGTGTGTTATAGGCCAGTAATATCTGAGAAAAGCTGGAGGGTTTGGGGAAGGACATGTTCGTCCAAACTTATTTATCCTGTGTTGGAAATGTTTCTGACTGATCTGGATGGTAGTTACTGATGGTAGAGGTGTTGAAGGTCATCAGGCTGTACTCTTAATATCTGTACATTTCATGTATGCTAATCCATTAGTAAAATAAAAATCCATTATCTCAGCCTCTAAAGTATTGTCAATTTTGGTCTATCTTGGTAGTTTTGCAATAGTTTGTGCATTTTTAAGCATTTAAAAATAAATTTTCAGAATCTTTAGTGTTTTTCTTTAGTGTTTCCCTTTTAAATCCTTTTTCAGTCAATTAGTTGACACAACCTAGATAGCCAACAACAGAAGATTGGTTGTAATAACTGTTTGTATCTCTTCAAAATTACAAACAGCTCAGTAGAGCAAAAATTGCCCTCCCCCCAAAAGTTTTTGAAACAAAAGAAGGGTGTGGAGGACATTTCTGGGAACAAAGGGTAAAAATGCTTGTTTCTTAAACACCTTTTTGATGCTTTACAATTTCCAATATTTAAATATCTGGAATTTGAAGAGATTAGCTTGCAACTGAATCATCATTTCAACCAAATTGTTGTGTTTACCAACTTGCATTCCATCTCATACTTTTCAGCCAGTTCTTAAGCCAGTTTCCTCATATTCCCACCTGACTTATGTAGCTTTTGGTTAAAATTCAGACTGAAGTCTCGTGGCGAGTAAACAGTAAATGTGTGATGATGTCAAAGGTAACCAAAATAGAATTTAGAGTAAAAGCTTTACCATTAACTGTGTTCAAGCACCAAAAGAGAGAGAAACATTCCCTTCTAGGCAATGTTTTTTTTTTTTGAAAAAAAAATCAAATTTGATGCCATTAAATTACAGTATTAAATCCATGAAATCTAGGACCTGTATGAAAATTAAATTTTAACTTATTCTCCCCAACAAACCCAGCCAAGCTCACCGTCTTGGATGGATTTCCCACTAGGACACAGTGCTTCTGAACATGGTTATTATTTTTAAAGGTAGCCATTTAAACACGAGCTGTTTTATTGGAACAGGACAGCTGGGAGGTGGTGGAAGGGCTGAGAGGAGAGATGAGTTACACCCAGGAGCCGCCCATGCAGAAAGGATTCTTGCTGAAAAAGAGGAAATGGCCCTTGAAAGGCTGGCACAAGGTAAGACATTGGCCTTGACATTACCTTTATTTGCTCCCACATTGCCCTCATCAGTACTTAGGTGCTGTACTTAGTTGATTCTCAGGCACTTGCCTTTAATTTGAAGTTGAAAATTGGGACCCAGGGAAGGATGGATCTTTAAATGGAACATCTTAGTGAATTTTACTTTCTTCCCCACAGAGATTTTTCTATCTGGACAAAGGAATCTTGAAATATGCCAAGAGCCAAACCGATGTAAGTCTTCTTATTAATCAAATATGTTATAAAAGTACTCTGCAGGGCTAATAGTTGTCACCCCATGGATGAAATCATACACATTTGGGGATGGCCTTTTTCTGAACTGGAAACCATAGGGAGGAATAGTTCTTTCACATGGACCAGAGGTGTGTGCTCCACGGTGTCCCGGCCCTGGGTTTTGGGTGGGCTCAGTTTGCCCACCAAGTGAAGGGTGAAGGTCTCCTCTCCACACCTAACTGCACATCCAGGGGTCTTTTCTGGTCTTAGGGTTGGGCTGAGGGGTTGTTTGGGTTGGAAAACATGTTTCCCCCTGAGATAACCGGAGCAAAACATACAACAAGTATCACTCCCACTCTTACAGTGACCAAGGGGGTTTGGTGGAGAAGGCCCTTGATGAAGGTGATGTGAATTTCCCTGTTGTGTTAACACTAGGCAGATAGCCCCGGAGGGCTGGAATGACTGTTGGTCCTGCCCTTTGTGCAGGTCCTTCTCTCACCCAGCACTTCTCTCTTCTTTCTCACTCCCCTTAACTCCTCGAGTTCTTGTCTTGTAGGGTTGCTTGTAGAAAATTTGTAGAAAATGCCTCACCCACAGTGGCCTGTCTTAGCTTTCTGCCTTTACTCCTCTTTTTAAATCACTTCCAAATGAATTTAGATACTAGAAACTAATTCTGTGGAAGGCAGTACAGCTAACTGGTGAATCCATTGCTGTGGGAGTCAGTCACTTACTTTCTCGCTTTCTCACTCACTGGCTGTGCAAGCCACTTGTTACCAAACCCCTCAGAGACTAAAACGGATCATGCATGTGCAGCACTTAATTCAGTACTGGTTCACACCAGATGCTTGGTAAGTCATAGTTATTATACTTATATTAGTGGATGTTGAAAGTGAGGCTAGAGGAAAGGAACATCAGGGATGTTACTACTGTTTTTAACACCACAAACCTCAAGTGGCCCTCTCCGTGTCTCGGCAGATAGAGAGAGAGAAGCTTCATGGCTGCATTGACGTTGGGCTCTCAGTGATGTCTGTGAAGAAGTCATCAAAATGCATAGATCTGGATACCGAAGAGCACATCTACCATCTGAAGGTGAGATTGCTTCCCAGATGCTACCTCCTACTGCACAGTTTCTGTGTGTTGCAAAGGGATGTCAGTTATAGTACTGTTGGTGATGGCTTTTGAATATTTCAAATGATCCAACCAACGTGTAGAAGATCTTCACTGTGAGAGTATTTTTAACAGATGCTATTGATCTTAAATGGGACGGTTCTTCATTGTGCAGGACTGTCTCTCACACTGCCAAAGGTTTAGCATCTTTGTCCCCTATCCCCTAGGTATCCCCCCCCCACATACATACCATGATTGTGACAACAATCAATAATAAAAAAAATCTTCATGTTTCCAAATAACCCCTCCTTCCCCCAGATTGTACCTACTTTAGTGAAGAACCATTTACCAAAGGTTAACGTATGTTCCCTGAAACACCATATTGAATATTTAGTCTTACCACTTCAGCCAATTAAAATTCTCATTCTACAGCGGATGTCAGGAACTTTTCTCCTTGAGTATGGGCTTCCAAGTAGGACCTCTGAAAGCTGCTTAACTACCATCTTCTGCCCTGTCCCCTATAGCTGGTGTAGATGGTTCTAAGCATGATTTAAGAGCTTCTGAACCAGATCTGGACCTGGCTACTTACTAGCTGTTGGCCTTTGGCACATTTTATAATCCCTGAAAGTCTCCGTTTCCTCACCACCCTTCCCCAGAATGGGAATTATTATAGTGCCCATGTAGAAAAGGCTGCATGTAGGAAACTTGGCATAATGCCCAGCCTTCAGTAAGCTCAATAGGTTTAGTTTTTGTGTATAATTATTAGGTGGTACCCGAATGTTAGGAATTAATTGAGAAGATATTAAGACTCTTTTGTTACTTGTGCAAATTACTTGGAATATTGGGAATTAGAGCTGGGGGATGGAAAAATGAAAGCATGAGATGATGAGTTCCACGTCTTAAGATGCCCCATACTCTTCCCATAGCATATATGTGGTGCTTATGCCAACATATGCATAAGACAGGTGCTTGATTGACTGCACAGGATGGTCAAATCTATACTGTTTCCTAGCCTTAGCCCCTAGTTACTTGTGTAAAGGAGGGTTTCTCACCCTTGACACTACTGACATCATGGGCTGGAGAAGGTTTTGCTGTGGGGCCTGTCCTGTGTATTATAGGATGTTGAGGGGCATCCTTGGCCTCTACCCACTAGATATTGGTAACAAGCCCCATTCAATTATAACAGCCAGAAAAAGTCTCCCATTGCCAAATGTTCCTTGGTTGAGAATGACTGAAAAAAAAAAAAAATTAAGAAAAAATATCCCACTCACCCCCTGTTCCAAAGATCATTCTCTTCTAGAATAGTTTCAGTTTCTCCACGTACTTCCAGTGACTCTTACTACTGTTATGACATGGTCAGGAATTAAGAGGTTCTTGTTCATCCACTTATTCTAGTTAACAGAATAAAAGTAATGATTAATTCCTAATTTTTAAAGAACCAGAGTGCCTTAAAATAACATTGAATACTGATATCATGATAAATACAGTTTAATATTTCTCTGTGTTGATTCACTTTAAGTTCTGTTCATATTTCTTTTTTTTTTTTTAATTTTTTTTTTTTTCAACGTTTATTTATTTTTGGGACAGAGAGAGACAGAGCATGAACGGGGGAGGGGCAGAGAGAGAGGAAGACACAGAATCGGAAACAGGCTCTAGGCTCCGAGCCATCAGCCCAGAGCCTGACTCGGGGCTCGAACTCACGGACCGCGAGATCGTGACCTGGCTGAAGTCGGACGCTTAACCGACTGCGCCACCCAGGCGCCCCAAGTTCTGTTCATATTTCTTGTTCATTTGTTTGACCATCAGCTGTGAGTGTTAGTGTGGATATGTGTGCTCATCTGAGGGTCTTCCTTAATAGCCTCAGAGTCTGGCAGTTGTTTTTTTTTTTTAATTTTTTTTTTTAATGTTTATTTATTTTTGAGACAGAGAGAGACAGAGCATGAACAGGGGAGGGGCAGAGAGAGAGGGAGACACAGAATCTGAAACAGGCTCCAGGCTCTGAGCAGTCAGCACAGAGCCCGACACGGGGCTCGAACCCACGGACCGCGAGATCATGACCTGAGCCGAAGTCAGACGCTCAACCGACCGAGCCACCCAGGTGCCCCGAGTCTGGCAGTTTTTAAATGGTGGCCATCCAGTCCCATTTTGTTATTTTTATAGATGAAGAGTCTGGGCGGCTGAGAGGTTAAGTGGGTGTCTCCCTACAGTCCTATAACTACTTGTGAGTTTGGAACAGAACCCTGAACAGTTATTTAATAAAGTACTTTTATTCTGCCTTATTTAACCAATAAAAAATGAGTCAAGATGAATACTTTGGGTGCCGATTTTTTAAGGGCCTCTAAGAGCAGATCAGTGCAAAGGATGACAGAAGATTCTTGTAAAATTCCTGCTGTAACCACATCTGGGAAATGAAATACATTTTGAGAACATAATTTAGGGGGAGACAAAAAGATCTAAGTCTGTTTTGCTTTTTCTTATAAATGATCTATTCAATAAGCACCTGGAGGGGTTTTAAGTCTTGTATGTACTTCTAATCAACACAATAAACCTAAGAGCCGACGTACCATTTCCTAAATGAGTGATGGCTGCTGACATTTATTTCCACATCCTTGCTCTCAGCAGTAGCATTAGTGACGATTTTAACAGATTGACCTGGATTTTTCTTTTTGGAAGTTAACCTACCATGCATCCTTTGGGGTGATTTTTAAGTTGCCACTTCATGAGTCTCTGTTCTAATATATAGATATTTATCATTTTTCATTTTGAAAATATTAATATACCCTTATACACACAAAGCATTAACTACTAAGAAATATCTACTGTATAGGTGCTTGTTACATTCTGGTTAGTGCTTTTATGAAATACTTTATAATAAAAGTTGCTAGTTATAAACATTATTCTTCGTGGGAAGTAAACTTTGATAGATACTCATTTATGGAGAAAATGGCTAAATGTTTGTGTAGGTGTGTTTGAAAAATCTCGGAAATCACCAATAATACTTTTCCAGAAAAGTCTGAATTATAAAAGTGCTAGTGTCTTCAGTAAGAATACAAGGAGTGGGGACATGTGAACTTGGAAATGCTTTAAGAGACAGATAAATATGAATTCTAGTTGATTTGTTTAATATAAGTAGTAATGTTTTGCTTTTGTAATAATAGCATAACAATTGGGCCCTTTCACTGAAAGCCTAAGTGAAGGTTTTGATCATTTTTATTCTCCATTTCCTTCTCAAACTTGCTCCTATAAATCACGTAAATATAAACTAAATCAACAAACTGATATTTCTACATTTCTACATGTGCCAACATGAAAACAGAGGGTGTCTCAATTTGATGAATAATTGCTTCTTTGAGTGAGTGACGCTCTTGTTTCCCTCTTTCAATTTAATATCATTTAGGTAAAGTCAGAAGAAGTCTTTGATGAGTGGGTATCTAAACTCCGCCACCACAGAATGTATCGTCAGAATGAAATCGCCATGTTTCCACATGATGTTAATCACTATTTCCAAGGATCCACAGTCACAGACTCTGCGTCTGGTGTCTTAGACTCCATTTCAAGTAGGAAGGTAATTTAAAGGAAGGGAGTGGCTTTGTGTGGGGGTGTCCCAAATGGGGGGCTCTGACTAAAGGAAGAACAGCTTGTGGGGAGAAATGTTTGTCCAGTTGGTCAGACTCCGGGTCCGAGGAGTATCCGTTATCTCTGGGACAGTAACTGAAGAATAGCACATAAGGAGGGATTTAATAGTCCTGATTCTTCCAGATTTCCCTTGACCATTTTGACTTTGATTTTCTTATCTGCTTGTACAATGCAGTAAGTATGTTTATAGCCGTACAGGATTACAAAATTTCCCAACATTTATGCTATTATTTTGTCATGATTATCATTTGACAGAAGAAGAAATTAAGGACCACAGGTCCAAGGCACGAGAGCATGGTTTGGCCAGGCTGAGGTGACAGCCAGAGCTTAAAGTCTCTAGTGGAGCGCTTTGTGGAAGCTTCTTCCCCATTACAGGCAGATGGCTTCCATTAGCGACTAGCTTACTTTGTTGTCCTTTACCCTAAAGTGTTCTCACTGGGCTCTGTTTTCATTTATAATGTGCTTTTGTCATCTGTGCAACAGCGTAGCAGTATATCAAAGCAGAATTCAATTCAAACTGGAAGCAATTTATCATTTTCTTGTGGTGGTGAGACCCGTGTTCCATTATGGTTACAGTCTTCAGAGGACATGGAAAAGTGCTCGAAAGGTAAAGTGACTTGAAAACTCTGCTTCTTGCAGTCGTGGCTTGTAGATTGGACTCGGTTAGTATATACACCTTGGATGAGTCTCCCTATCAGTGGTCTACATTTGAACTTGACATCCGTGCCTGGGTGTGTGTGCACACAGGTTGCTTTTCATATTCTTTAAGCACTCAGGTCTGATTTCCATTTGGACCTACTAGATCACAGTCTTCAAGGGTGCTATTTCTTTTAAGTGCCAAAAATGACAGGGGTGCACATCTAAGATTGGGAGTCACTTTTAAAGGTGAGTGGGTGAACCAAATGGAGATCCCCACAAAATAGGAGTTCTCTACCGTGGTTGTACTCTAGAATCACCAAGAGAGCTTTTTTTTAAAGTTCATTTATTTATTTTGAGAGAGACTGGGGGAGATGGCAGTGGGGAGGACAGAGAGAGAGAGAGAGAGGGAGAGAGGGAGAATCCCAAGCAGGCTCCACACGGTCAGCACAGAGCCTGATGCGGGGCTTGAACTCATGATCCATGAGATCATGACCTGAGCCAAAACTAAGAGTCAGACGCTTAACTGAGCCACCCAGGTGCCCCAAGAAAGCTTTTAAAATGCAAGAGTACCCACTGTTCACAAGAGTGTCTTTAAATTGGCCTGGACTGGGGTCTTGGTATGACTGATTTTTTAAAGTTTCCCAAATGACTCTGATAAAGAGTCAGGATTAAAAACTCTTCCATAAGGAAGCTCAGTGGTCTCATCCCTAATTAGCTCAGAACCACCCAGGGAACTAAAAAAACCCAAAACAAGTCACCAGTGGGATTGGGGACACTCTGAATTAATTATCTGAGATGGAACTTGCACATAGATAATTTAAAAATTTCCCCAGTTGATTTTAAAGCAGAGCCATGACTGAGAGCCACTATACCAGGTGGTGGCCTTGAAAATTGCATTTTCTCCTGTTGAATGCAGATACTGTCACACCTGGAGCCATATAGGTTTGGCCCTCACAGTCAAGAACTTCACGGACTGACATTTTGGCACAGGTAGTCCTTGAAGTGCCCTCTAGGCTGGCAGCATTGGCCTGGCCTGCAGACTTATTTGAAATGCAGATTCTCAGGCTCAACCCAGATAGACCAAATCAGAAACCGGAGTGGGGGCGGGGGGGCGGATCTTAATGATCTGTGGTTTAACAAGTTCTCCAGTTAATTCTGGTGATGCCAAAGTTTGAAAGCCACTCTCTTAAGGCATCATCCAGTGAGCGGCAAATTAAGGACTATCTTTGGAGTTAGTGACGGAGGAATTGGTATGAGAACTTAGGTTAGTTCCTCTGAGGTCAACCTGCAGAGGATCATCAAAGTCTCATATGGGTCCCTGATCCACAGTTTTCCTTAGAGACCAATATAACCTTCATTTTGTTTTATTCATTTAGCCTGTCTGGAGTCCTTATAAGCAGATGATGTAATACTTGAAATAATGGTAATAATGATGATAGCTGATTTATTTAGTGTTCACAGTATGCCAGCACTCTACAAGCATGCTGCATATGTCAACCATTCAACATATGAAAGCAGGTATATAATTATCTCCCTTTCCCAGATGAGGGAACTGAGGCACAGAGAAGTTACGGAATTCACCCAAGATTCACAGTTCATGAAGTGTTCAAACCGAGGCAGCCTGGTGCTCCGAATCTGTGCGCTTAACCGTGACAGTATACTGCCTCTTCTGTAAAAAAGGAAATAAAATTTCTTCCCCGTACGGATGAAAATCAAATAGTATAGACGAGTACAGAAGGTAGTTGGCACTAGCATAGTGAAACCTGGATGCCAAGATAAGAGCTATGAAGCTTCCTTTTGCTCCTGTCCCCCAGACCTGGCACACTGTCATGCCTACCTGGTGGAAATGAGCCAGCTCCTACAAAGTATGGACGTCCTGCATCGGACCTATTCGGCGCCAGCTATCAACGCCATCCAGGTCAGCCAGATCCCTCTTCTGTGTGCATTCTGGTGTTTTCCTGCTTTCCTCTCTCCTCCCCAGCCTCGTACTAACAGTAGGACATTATCTGGCCGGTTGCTTCAGCCAAATTCAAGGGGATGGAGGTGGGCACTTTGCTTGCAGTTTTCCCTTACTTTCTGTGCTCTCTTTCCTGTTTTGAAACAAAGGGTGGAGCTTTTGAAAGTCCTAAAAAGGAAAAAAGATCACACAGGAGGTGGCGGTCCAGAGCTATTGGCAAAGATGCTAAAGGAACACTGCAGGTAACCATCGCTTCCCTGCTCTCCATGCCGCATGCTGGGGGCTGCTTGGACTCAAATAGAATAGACAAGTGGATTTTCTATAGTTCTCATAAATACCCTGGGCAGAGGGAAATTTAATCACTTAGATTTTCTGGATACTAGGATAAGCATGTAGTAGAATTGGGTAAGGGGAAAATGGTATGAGGTTGGAGGGGCTGCAGCCATTTCTAGGACTTTGGTTTCCCCTTTATATATGCTTGGCCTGCCTGCCCTCTTCCCTCATTGTGTGTGTGCTCCGACCCGCCTGTTCTGCCAGTCCATGGACAACTCATCCCTTTGAGCCCACTGACTGAGTTCTCTGGAAATGGGACATTGTGCAGACTCTCTCTTGTCTCTTGTCTCCAACCTCCCAAACCCCCATCAGAGTTTCACTGTGTTACACTGGCCACCTACTTTCCCAGTGCACAGCCAAGCCAGAGGCCAAGATTTGCAGCTCAGCCATTGCATGTTAAATTGGGACATTGTTAGGGTCAAATAAATCAGGAGCGTAATGGATAAGCGATCTGCTATACTCTTATACACTCTTTGTTCAAAGCACCTTAGGGGTGGAGATTAAGAATTTTTGAAGCAAAGAGTGATTTGTGTACAAGCATGTGAGAAGTTGCTTTTGTAGAAGCACCAGATGCAAATTAAAGAAACATTTTTAAACCTATGCACTGTTAACAACATAGATACTGGGTGATTATTGCCAGGAGGAAGGAATTGAGTATCAATGGGAAAGAGCCTGGCAGCTTTAGCTGTCATTTCAACCTAGAGCTTTAATGCTTCTATCATCTCCAAAAGAACATGTGATTTCTCACCCATTTTTCTTTTGCAAGAAGCCAGAGCAAGTTGCTGGAGAAAGTGCTTTCCTGGGTTTTCACTTATTTTTAAGTTATCTCAACAGAAAGATGTACCTAGAAAATGTTCTTCTTGCACTGCTTTCTAATCTTAGAAACAGTAAATATTCTAAGCCATTTGCATCTGAAAAGAAATGTCTCCCTTTGGTGTCACTTTAGGTCCCTAAACCTTTTCCTGGCCCAGTAAGACTACATTCCTCCAACCCTAATTTGTCAACATTAGATTTTGGAGAAGAGAAAAATTATTCTGATGGCTCTGAAACCTCATCAGAGTTTTCTAAAATGCAAGAAGAACTGTGTCATATTGCTCATAAAGGTAAATGAGTTTTCTTTCTTCCTAATGTGTTTGATGAAAATGTTAGATGCATGTCTGGATGTGGGATGTCCTTGGAGAGGGAATCTTGGTTGGTTCATTTTCTGCTCTGTTAGGATTTGGGGCAATCTAATTTTTACTTTATTTCTCGGGTACTAGGGAATGTATTGACAAGAAGTTTCTTTTTAAGCCCTTAGGGGAAATAGTGAGAGTGTTAGGTATTCTTTAAAAGCTGAGTGGTTCACATGCTGCTGATGGGGGCTATCAATTGGTACTCTTCCAGAGAGCAGTATGACATTATGTTTCAAGTTAAAAAAAAAAAAAATCTATCCAGCAATTCCACTTTGAAGAATTCATTCATAGGAATGAATTTAAAATTCACCCAAATAGAGATACCCATTGTAGCACTGCTTATATAAAAAATTAGAAATAGATGTTCAACATCATTAGCCATTAGGGAAATGCAAATTAAAGCCAGGATGAGATTACCATACCCCGATTATAGCTCCAAAACAAGACAGTACCAAATGCTGGTGAGAACACAGAGAAACTAGATCTCTCATATATTGCTGGCGGCAATGAGAGATGGGGCAGCCACTCTGGACAATGGTTTGGCAGCTTTATATAAAACTAAACATGCACTTACCATATAACTCAACATTCACATTCCTGGGCATTTATCCCAGAGAAATGTAAACTTAAGTCTACACAAAACCCTACACACAAATGTTCCGAGCGGGTTTATTTGTATTAGCTATTAGCCAAAGATTGGAACAACCCAAGTGTCCTTCAACAGGCGCATGATTAAACAAACTATGGGACGTCCACACAGTGGGATACAGCTCAACGATACAAACGAACAGATACTGATATGCATAGTTCCTTGGATGGATCTCAAGGACATTATGATGAGTGAAAGTAGCCAGGTTCAAATGGTGACATAGTGTATTCCACCTATTAATACTTTTGAAGGGATAAAATGGTGTTGCTGGAGAAGAGATTAGTGGTTGCCAGGGCTTAGGGAGAGGGAGGGGGAAAGGGGAAAAGTATGGGTGTGATTATGAAGGGGTATCGGGAGGGATCTTGGTGGTAATGCAAAGTTCTGATCCTAATTGTGGTGGTGGTTCCATGAACCCATGCATGTGATAAAATTGCCTTGACCTATATTTCACACACATAAGAGCATGTGAAACTGGTGATGGCTGAATAAGATGTCATTTCTCCTGGGTTGGATATTGTAGCATAGTTATGTAAGATGTTACCCCCGTGGGAACTGGATACAGGGTACCCCAGACTTCCCTATACTACTTTTGCCACTTCCTATAAATCTATGATGATTTCAAAATAGAAAGTTTTTTTTTTTAATTAGAAATAACCTAAATGCCAAACAATAGGGAAATTGCATTTTTTAATGTACTATAATTACACGGTAGAAGACTCAACAGCCACAATAATAAAAATAGCGACCTCATATTGAGCACATAGCTATTATATCAGGTATTTGTTAAGCACTTTCCATGCACTGTTTCATTTCATTCTAGAAGCAACCTATGGAGCAGATGTTATTGTAGTTTTTGTTGCACAGATAAGAAAGCTGAACCTTCAAGAAGCTGAAGAGCTTCCTGTGTAAGATAGCGGTAGAAAGTGGACAACCTGAGACTTGTATCCTAGCCTCCCTGGCCCACAGTCTATGCTCCTTACCTGTGTCTCACCACCCTGAGGGATGGGGTGACCAGGGCTACTTTTATAGACATAGGAAGAAGTTCACAACATACCATTGTGTAAAAATACAGGTCTCAAAACGATATAGGTATGATTCTATTTTTTAGAAAAAAACCCCAACTTTATAAATCTGGCATATATAGGCATACTAAACAGTCTGGAAGGATCTACACCAGCATTTTAGTGATGGAGGCTAGAGTTGTAAGTACTTATTATGTTCTTACTGCCTTTTTTTTTTTAAGTTTATTTGTTTATTTTGAGAGAGAGAGCGTGTGTGCGAGAGCTGGAGAGGGTCAGAGGGAGAAAATCCCAAGCAGACTCCCTCCTGTCAGCACAGAGCCCGACACGCGGCTCAGTCTCAAGAACCGTGAGATCATGCTCTGAGCCGGAATCAACAGCCAGACTGCTTAATAAACTGAGCCAGCCAGGTGCCCCGGCGTGTTATTTTTTAAAGGAGAAAATGGGTTTAAAAGTTTTAAATGGGGGCGGGGGGACAGTGTTTGAAGTGAGAGAAAAGAAGGTACGAGATCTGCTGCCTTCTTCTCCCAGCCTCATGTTTTTCTCCCATGACCTTATTGATTCTTTCAGCTTTTTTTTCCCTTACCCCACAAACATGAAGCATGTGGCTATGAGGAAACCACTTCATGTCCTTTAAAAATTCCCACCTCAAACCCTTGTTCTAGTTGCCATTAGAACTCTGTCACTGTTTGCAATACCGTTATACGACCTGTGAAATGGGAAGAATTGCTTCCCCCGACCCCTTCAAAGCTCTTCACACAGGCTCTTGCATGTTCTCTAGTATTAAAGGGTCGAGTGCAATTACGGCATTGCATTTTAGGCTTTGTGAGAGGGAATTCCTGCAAAAGAGCACTACTTTTTAACAACCCAAACCGTCTTTTTACTGAGAAGATAATGCCTCCTCAGAGAAGCGATATCCTGAATTTTATACGTTGAAGAAGCTGCTTCCTCAGCAGAACAGAGAGAGGTTGCTGTATTGAGTCAATCCGCTGATCCTTTCCTCCTGCAGAGGGCTCGACCTTGCAGAAAGTCTACACTGGGCTCCAGCCAGCTGTTTTGTCTTTCAGGCTTTGTTCAAAACAGCTGGCTGCAGGGCTGCCCCATACCTAGACTAGGTCAAGGTTTGCGCTCTGAGAAAAGACCAGGTGTGTTTATTGAACAACAGCCTTTGCCCCATGGGCTTACAGACTTGAATTCCACAGAGAGCCTAACAAGCTGTGTTTCATTGCTGTGGTTCTAAAGTACACTTGCACACACTGAAAAGATCTCTGGGAGTCCCTTTTATACAGGCTGGGACTCAGAGGCCTCGTGGAATAGAGATACTTCTCAGGTTTGTCCTCAGTCCTGTGACCTTGCGTGCTTTCTCACTTCCATGCATTCAAGCTCACAGCATCTTGACCTGTCTGCCTTGTCTGCCTTGTGTGAGCCTGATTTTGTCACTGATGGTTTTTATTGCAGTTTCTTGACTGTATGACTAATCTATTGATTGTGATTCAGAGCAAGTAAACTAAACGTAAGAATTCCACGGATGTTGTAACATAGTCTCTGTAACCTACTTTTCCTTTAATTTGTTAAATGCATCTGAAGCCTGTTTTGTAGAAGATTAGATCAAAGGGTAGACAGCTAATGTATACCCATCATCGTTGAAAAAGTCCTTCTTATATATTATAAACTAAATTTGACTTTTAACGGCGTATCGTTGAAATAGTTTTCATTGGTTCATGTGTCTGGCTTTGCATGCATAATTGACACACATGTAAGCAAATAGAGAACAAAAAGTACTAAAACTTAAAAGTCCTTAAGGAATTTACATTGCATATATTAACTTTTACATCTCTCCAAATATATTTCGTGGAACACTTTACCCATAAAATGCTTTTAAAAACAAAAGAATTCCATGATTAAAAATGTTGGGAAAACACTGCTGACTATGGTCCCCTGTGAATTTACACAAGAATAGTAAATATTAAAGGCGCTGAGAAGTCCTGCAGCAAAGAGGGCTGTTAGTTTTGTTTAAGTCAGTGATTTTTCCCCCACTTCCTAGTAGCTATTGGCACTCAGGAACTAAAGTTCTTGAGAAACATAATGCAGGAAACATGGTAAATAATAAACCTTTTTGGAGCTAATCCTCTGTATTGTCTGAGTCAGAAGACAGGCATTCATTCTAGGCCAGTCTGTTATGATCAGCTGTGGAATTTTGATCTCACCAGTTAATGTCTCTGGGCCTTGGTTGCCTCATCCATTAAATGTCCTACAGCAGTTCTACTGACTTTTGGGTCTCAGATTCTGTAACTCTTTTCTCTGATTGGTTATTTTGTCCTGAATAGAAAGAATTCATGTTGTCGCTTATTGGTACAAGAAGGTTTTATGAGACAGGGTTCTATTAGTAGCCAAAACAGGAATGACTGAATATGGTGAACAGTTTTAGGGTGGGAAAGCAAGGGATAGGATAAGAACAGGGTCCAGGGTATGGAAGTGGCCATTTCTTTTTTTTTTTTTTTTTAATTTTTTTAACGTTTATTTATCTTTGAGACAGAGAGAGACAGAGCATGAACAGGGGAGGGGCAGAGAGAGAGGGAAACACAGAATCTGAAACAGGCTCCAGGGTCTGAGCTGTCAGCACAGAGCCCAACGTGGGGCTCGAACTCACGGACCGTGAGATCATGACCTGAGCCGAAGTCGGCCGCTTAACCGACCAAGCCACCCAGGCGCCCCTGGAAGTGGCCATTTCTGTTCTACTGTGGATGAAAAAGGTTAGGTTTAATGATACTTCTGCCGGTAGGTTTAATGATACTTCCCGAGGGCATTTTCAGTGAGGGAAATCCTCATTTACAAATGAAAAGGTTAAAAGTAGAACAAAATTAAACTGTATTTTATTATTTAGTATCCTTTTGTTCCTGATTCTTTTGCTGTGCTGAGTTTTTAACTGTTGAAGGATCATCTTCTGAACTGTTTTGAGTTTATGGAAGCATTGGATAAAAAGCCAAGCATGTCACAGATTATAAGTCAGAAGATATACAGAACTTAAAGAAAAGCCAGATCATTTATCAAACATAATTTAGGATTCAGCATAAAAATCTGCTGAGCAATTGTATTTATGTAAATTATCAGAAAGTAAGTAGGACCATTCAGTCAAATTACCTACTGTATCTAAATGAAAGGACCATTTGGATAGAATATCAGTTAGATAGCCTGTGAGGTTTGAACCATGGATATCCTATGAGGTTTGAAAATTAGAGGAAGCAGATTTCAGAAGATCAAGTCTGATCTTTTAGATGTGTTATCATTTTAAAGAAAATTCGTACGTGTGCTTTCATTAAAAAGGGAATGAAAAATTGGGTTGGGTGCTATATGATAGCATATTTTCTCACTGATTCCTTAAAGCACTCTTGAGATGTGGGCATTAGAAACATGTACAGATGTGAAAACCAAGGATTTGTCCAAAATCTAAATGGCAACAAATAGGTAGGGGTAGGATTTCAGTTCATATTTGCCTTATTACAAAATGTCTTTCCTTTGGACCACACTGCCTCCATAGAAGTGGTGTCTATGGTATTCCTGTCTTCCCCAAGACCTATTTTTTTGTGATGCTGAGAAACTCCTGGAGAAGGAACACATTAAACAATAGAGTTCAGGTAAATTAAGATGACAGCTGCCCTTAAGTACCACCTTTCACCATCCAAACGTGCTAAACGTACTCTCACCGTGTAACTCAATAAAAGAATACCATGGAAGCCTGTAGAAATGGGAAAGGTAGTGGTCACCAAGAGTCAGTAGTCTGAGGCTTATGGCGTTCCATTCTGTCAAAACTCAACCTGCGTCCCACTCTTAGTACAGTGAGGCGGTCTGAGGAATGGCTAAAGACAGTCTGGGGAAGACGTGTAAATAGAGATGTCAGAATTGCCTTTTGATATTTGAACACCACTTGAATGAAGAGGTAGTTCAGTCTGCCAATGAGGAGGCCCTGAGAAAATTTCGACTTGGGAACAGGAGGGCTTCCTTCCCCACATCAGAGTCTAGGAGCAGAACAGACTGCTGTAGGAGACAGCAAATGCCCTGGCAAACATGGCCCAAAACCACTGACAAGAAAGTTTGGAGACGGAGAGGAGTTGGTCATCCTATATGGCAGGTGGCCTTAGTGATCTTTGGGGTTCTCTGTGGCTCTGAGCATTGAAGACCTTCTGTGTGGTTTTGCTCGTTGTGGGATATCCATAAATGTGATATATGTATTTGGATTTTCTCTCTTTGTAAGTTTTTTTGTTTTTCTCTAGCATCATGTTAGAAATTAGTAAGAAAACATTCTGTCACAGACAATATTCCTCACTTCTGGGATCATGTGTCTTTAATGATTAATATACATATCGTCTCCCGTGATCAGCCTCTAGCAGTCCCTCTGTGTATGCTGGATCCTTATGCTGTGAATGAGTTCTGAGTGGGCCTAAGCAGTCATTTAAGAAATTCAGTGCATGGTGGTCTGGTCTTCCAAGCTCCTTTGTCAGGTGGTTTAGAAAGCCCTTCACACCTTAAAACCCAATATAGTGACTATCTGAGTTTCTTTCTGCTTATTTTATGCCCACTGCTGTCTTGTCAGCTATCCATTTTGAGCCAAGTGGTGTATATTCTGCCAACTTTAAATGGAATGTTCTCATCAGGTTGAAAGCCTTGCTTTACGGCATGCCATCTGAAAGCCAGAGGAATTGATCTGCTAAAGTGCCAGCCAGCTGAGTGCCACATTTACTTCATTTAAAGCACTACACGTGACGTGGGGGGAAAAATGTTTCCTCTGTAACTATGTGAAGTGACAGATGTTAACTGGACTTATTGTGGTGATCATTTTGCAGTGGATACAGATACCGAATCATGGTATGCACCAAAACTAATATAATGTTAATGTTAATTATACCCTAATTTAAAGAGAACAACTGAATTGTCATAATAAATTAAGGAAACTTAGGCCAAAGACAAAAAAACAGGGGCACCTGGGTGGTTCCCTTGGTTAAGTACCCAACTCTTGGTTTCAGCTCAGGTCATGATCTTGTGGTTCATGATTTCGAGCCCTGTGTCAGGCTCTGCACTGTGCTGTGTGGAGCCTGCTTCAGATTCTCTTTCTCTCCTTCTCTGCCCCTGCTTTCTATCAATCAATCAATCAATCAATCAATCAATCTGAAAAAAAGACCAAAACACAACAATGAAACCATGATAGTGAAGAGGTATTCCCCCGGGGCCCTCTCAGATGGGCATGGGTGTCTTCTGGAGCGTGTGTGTTGGGGGGCTTGTCTATCTACTAGGACGTAAAATGCTGAGTTACTTGTGGGGTTTGTTGCCCCCCAGCTGAGAATGTTCTTCTGCCGAACATAGTTCGTAGAACTGCCAAACAGTTCATAGACCCTGCACCCTGTGTGCAGTTATTTACCAGTGTTGTCCCGGCAAGAGACCCAAGGACTCCCTTAAAACTGCTGCCCATATTTCAAGAGAATGCAGTCACCACTGCTCGCCTCCATGTTGCTTTTATCGCCATCACTATTATTATTGCAGCAACATTGATTCTTTATTCTGTGCTATCCATTGGGTCATTTGCTTTTGCTGCATTACCTTATTTAATCCCTGTAATCATCTTACAAAGTAAACACTGTTATGACCCTTATTCACAAATGAGGAAACTGGGGTTCAGGAATGGCATATATTTGTCCAGAGTCATGCAGTGAATAAGTGATAGAGCTGGGAAGAATCCAGGGCTGGTTCAGAGCCCACACTGTTGCTTACTTGGTTGTACTGCCCATTATTTTGCTCAATGAAATTGGTTAAATCAGAGTTGAGTGTGTTTCGCAGACATTGTTAGAAAACTTGATGCCTATTGGCCTTTAGTACCTATTTACCCTGTCTTCTGTTGACAAAAGAGAAGACATGAATTGTACTAATAACCTAGGAAACTGTGTGTGTGTTTAAACAAATTGCTTATTTGTACCATGACTTTATGAAGATGGTCTAAATCCATCCCTGAACACCACAGCCTCAGACAAGTTCAGCAACAACCTATAGGGAGGTGCAGTTGTCCTTGTGGCTGTGAAATCAGGAAGTAAGTCAATAATACGTATTTAGTTTCTGTGATACTAAATAGGCCACTCTTGAATGACAATGCCTCTAAAAATGCAACCCTGTGGAATTCAATAATATGCCAGGCCATCTGAGAAGAAGTATGTCTCTGTCTCTTCCTTGGTTACCTTTCTAAAACAAAATATAGTAAAGGAGACTGGAAAGATAATATCCAAATAGGGTATCCATGATCAGTAATTTAGATGGTGGTTCCCCATCCCTAGGAGATAACTCAATGTGGTCAAAATTTGACGAATTTTTTGTCATATGTGTTAGCGGTTTTTAAAAACTTTAGTTCAGGCCTCTGAGCTCCTAGAGGTGCTAAGCTTTCACTAAAGTGAACAGAGTGGCTGGATACCAGGCTTAGAGCTGGAGGATTCTGGGTCAAGCAGTTGGAAGACTGATAAGAAAGAGGGTAGGTAACACCCTAAAATAATTTCAAATTTACAGACAAGTTGCAAGAACAATACAAAGAAGTCCCATGTATCCTTTACCCAAATTTATCATTTGTTAATATTTTGCCACATATATTTTATCTCTCTCTTTACACACACACACACACACACCATATTGCACATGCGTGCATGTGTTTATTTTTCTGAACCGTGTGAGAGTGGGAATCCTACATGGTATCTTTCTGTATGCCTTTATACCGTAGTGTATATTTCCTAAGAATAGGGATAGTCTGTTACTTAACCACAGTTTAGTTATGAAATTTTATGTTGAAACAATACTTTAGTCTATTCTATTTTCCATGTCCAGATGCTGTCCGTGGTCCCGATAATGCCCTTTAATGGTACTTTTCCCCTTCAGTACAGGATCTGGTCCATGATCATGTACTGCATTAATTGTCATGTCTCTTCAGTGTCTTGCAACTGGGAACAGTTCCTCAACCTTTTTTTTTTTTTTTTTTTTTTTTTTTTTTTTTTTTTTTTTTTTTTTTTTTTTTTTTTTTTTTTTTTTGTGAAATTGATACTTTTGGAGAATCAGGTCAATTTTTAAAAATAAGGTGTTCCTCATTTTGGAGTTGTCTGTCCCTGGTTGCTGTACAACAAAAACGAAGGTATATCTTTTTCAAGATATTACACCTGGAGTCCAGCTGAGCCTCACGGGGGATTAATTTTGGTCACCTGGTTAAGGTGCTGTCTACTTTCTTGGCTGGATTGTCACCATTTCCCCCAACAAGCAATGAGCTTTATTTTCAAATATTTGCAGTCTTGGGGGATACAAACAAAACTAAATGTTGATAATTGAGAATCCAGAAGTGTCCTTTCAAGTCTCAAAATAGCTCAATAAGTCATAAATTCTTGGGATTTTATAGTGGATTAGGGGGGTTGGAATTGACAAATGTGTATGATTTTAAATTTTTTAATAGACTTTTTTTTGAGAGCAGTTTTAGATTCATAGCAAAATTGAGCAGAAAGTACAAAGTTCCCATATACCACCCCCCCCCCCCCCCCCACACACACACACAACCTCCTCCACTGTCAACATTCTACCAGCATGGTCCATTTGCTACAACAGGTGAACCTACAGTTCATCATTAGCACCCAGAGTCCATAGTTTAAGTTTAGAGTTCCCACTTGGTGTTGTGCCTTCCAGATGTGTTTCTTAAAAGTCAATTAGTGTGCATTTGCTGCATAATTCAGTTCATTATTCAGGGCTGTTACTTTTCTAAGTTCTTTTGTAAGAAATACATCTCTTGGGGCGCCTGGGTGACTCAGTTGGTTAAGTGTCCAACTTTGGCTCAGGTCATGATCTCACTGTTTGTGAGTTCGAGCCCCACATCGGGCTCTGTGCTGACAGCTCGGAGCCTGGAGCTTGCTTCAGATTCTGTGTCTCCTTCTATCTCTGCCCCTCCATGACTTGTGCTCTGTCTTTCTCTGTCTCTCAAAAATAAATAAATGTAAAAAAAAAAAAAATTAAAAAAAAGAAATACATCTCTCTTTATCTTGTTTTTAATTAAGCCTCTTCCTTTATTCCTTTTTATAATGATTATATCTTTATAGTTTACTTCACTTTAAGGTCAGCTTTTAATACCATATCAACGGAGAGAGAAAAACTCAAGCAGCTGATGGAACAGGACGTCTCCTCCTCCCCCTCGGCCCAGGTCATTGGTCTGAAGCACGCCCTGTCATCTGTAAGTTGCGTGTCATGTGGCCAGGCTCATGATTTTATTTATTTATTTGTATTTTCCAACTCCATGGTTGTGTTGAAAATTCATGAGAAAACCAAACAAATTATCCAAATGATATTTTAACCTTTCATCAGATTTGCTAATTCTGAATACCAAAACTGAGTGTACTCAAATCTTAGTAGCTAATATTTCATTGAGCATTAGATACTTTAAGTTTGGTTTCCTTCTATTTATCTTGATTTTTTTCTGTTTCTGTAAAGCTTTTGTTGTGTGTTTGCGTGACTCTCACAGACATTTGTCTGTTGATATAAAATCCGACAGTTTGGAGATTTCTGTACCTAAGATTTCTTTTTTATTTTTTTAATTGTTTTAAATCTTTATTTTTGAGAGAGAGAGAGAGAGAGAGTGAGCGTGAGCAGGGGAGGGACAGAGAGAGAGGGAGACACAGAATCGGAAGCAGGCTCCAGGCTCTGAGCTGTCAGCACAGAGCCCAAAGCAGGGCTCGAACCCACAGACAGTGAGATCATGATCTGAGCCGAAGTCAGAGGCTTAACTGACTGAGCCACCCAGGTGCCCAATGTACCTAAGATTTCTTATGCTTAGATTGACTTTGCAAATGACAGATAGAAGGGCAATTTCGAATTCACTTTTATGTTTTCTGCTGCACAGCACTCATCCTGTTTACCACCGTTTCAAAGTTATTTGGAAGTTATTTTATTTGATTTGGGTAATATAAAACATTTAGCTTCTTTTTCCTGTACAGGCACAAAGAGATGAGTCATATGGAATGTCAGATAACCATTGTGTTTTCATAACAACGAAAATCACGGCCAAGCTTCAGATGTTTTTCACTAAGCCCTTCTGTTATTCACCCTCTCTCCTTTTCCCCCTGATTCCAGTTGGGTTCCATTCAAGCACGATATCCTAGGATTTTACTTTGAATAGCAGATGTCGTCTGGTTGCTCACTCTATCTATTGAAAAGCTGGAGAAATTTTAAAATTACATACTTATTTGCTCCTGATCTTTGCTGTCCTTTCGAATTCCTATTGTAACGAGAAAGCGTGCGCACTTTTGTAGTGAAAATTACTAGATGAAGCAATTCTGAACTTTTTATTTAGGGTCAGGTTGGGCAGATGGACTTTAGGATCTTGTTTTCAGAGGCTAATTCAGGCTTTGAGAGAACTAGAAAATATCCATTCATCTTTTCGATTCATCATGTTACTGAGAAAAGTAAAGTAATGATTTTGGTGTGACGTTAATAGGAAATACATTAGCAGTAGTACATATTCTTGAAACATACTTGAGGAATATTTAGCCAGTGGAAGTTCCAAGTATATTACCCTTGAAAGAAATAAAAAAAATAATGTGGGCTCAGTCTATGTAGACAGTCTCAATGTCATCCACCCTGAGGAACTCTGGGTTTTCTAAGGTCAGAAATAGAAACACCCCCTTTTGGATTGTAGTGGACAGCCATACTGGGTGCTACTCTGGTTTGGGAAAAGTAAAGTGAGTTCTCTTTTGAGTTTATTTTTTAGTGCTAAAAAGCTTTTTTTGCTGTTCCCGGTAGGTTGACTTTTCGCACATTTAAAAGGTTCCTCTAATGGGCTCCCCAGAATTCCTTTCACTGTGGTTTCCTCTCTCCTGCCCTCCTCCCTTGGAGGTCTAGCCTCATCTTGTTAGTCTGCTTGTCTGGTAGTGGGCAGGGGTATCCTAGGCCAAAGTTGTTACCTTTGATAAGGAATTCTCCCCCATGTCCAGGATTTTGGAAACTAAAGATATAACAGAATGATCCTTTCTTTCCTCTTTTCGGCTTGGATCCTGGATTAGATTCCAGACTTTTTTTTTTTTTTAAGTTTATTGATTTATTTTGAGAGAGAGAGAATTCCAAGCAGGCTCTGCATTGTCATCAGGGAGCCTGACACAGGGCTCAAACTTACAAACCATGAGATCATGACCTGTGCCAACACCAAGAGTTGCTTGGTGACTAAGAGATGCTTAACCAACTAAGCCACCCAGGTGCCCCAAGACTTGTTTTTTAAAAATAAAATTTTTAGTGCCATCTCAAGGCTATCAGAATGGATATGTTTGGGCTGTATATGCAGTCAGTATTCTCCTTCTGCCCATGGCTTATGAAGGAAAGAGAAGCTGTTAAAGTAACACATTTTTTTTCAGGCCATACTAAGATTCTAGCCACTGGTATAGATTCTAGCCACTTGCACTTAGATACCAGCAACATGTTGGTCAGAAATAAAGGACTACCCATAGAGATTGTTACATGTACTTGTGTGAATTAAGAACATTTACTCAGTATTTCCAAATAGCCCATTCTATTCCTGGTTATAAAAAATAAAACCAACCTCCTGTTTGAGACCCAGGCAGTAGGCCAGACAGTGCCATATCCTTCTGTGGTCTCAGCAGGTAGACCCTGTGGGCACTAATGGATGGGAAAGGATCTGAGATTCTTGGAATAGAGCCTGGAAGACAGACAGACAGGACTGATTTTTGTGCAAGCACCCAAGGAGCTGATTGTGGGAGTGTCTGGGGGTCACAGTCAGGCACATTTGTTCCTTTCCAAAGACAGATCATTTGGAAACATCTCCCTCTACCTTTAAGCCAGTTGCTTCCCACTGGGAGGTTAGGACAGGGAATCAGACCTGCCCAGGGGTGGGTTTGTGTGTGCTCACATCCCTCCCCCCATTCCCAGGACCCTGGTTCCTAGCCTTTATCCAGGTAAGTGAAAGTACATTGTTGCTGTTTTCAATAAAATGTCTTAGTCATGAAGAATGAAGAAAACTATCATCACCTGTATTGGAAAATAATAAAATTAATCTTCCTCAGAATACTGCTTTTAAGCACACTTCCCAAGATCCAGTAAAACTGGTGTGAAAATTAGATAGCATTTAAAGACATCCAATCAAAAGGGGTGGGAGCAGTGTCAGAAGCGTGGGATCATTGGGAGAGATCTGGGGAGGATGAGGGGCCACGAAACCCCTGGCCTCAGTAAGAGCTGAAGGTGTTATTGACTTCCTTCTCCACCAAAAGGAAAGCTTCATCAACCCTTTCTTCCATCCCCAGAAGTGAGACTAGAGAAGGGACATCACTACCAAAGTTTAGTATCTTTGATCCCCCTCGCATCTCCGAACCAGTATCCTGTGGGATAGCATTCAAGGAGAAAATCCAGGAAGTGCCCCACTCAAGGCTCCATCCCACTGGGCCCACTGCTGTGCTTTTCTGATACATCCGTTTATTAACAGAGCCCCACTATTTTTAACATGTTCCAGGCCCTAGCACAAAACACAGACCTTAAAGAACGCTTATGCAGAATCCATGCTGAGTCTCTGCTCCTCGATTCCCCTGCTGCTGCCAAGTCGGGTGACAGTCTGGCAGAGGTGGGTGAGGCTTCTCGTCTGGGAATGTTTCCACGACCGCCACCCCCTCACCTGACATCCTCTGTCACGTTGCCCCTGTTTCCCTCTCGGGAGCGGTGCTCACATCTCTGCCCACCTCCGGCAGCTGCTGCAGGGTCTGGGAACCCCTGAAGGCTTTCTGGAATATGTGCCTCCTGCATTGTTAAACTGCTTCCTCCCCTCCCCACCCCAAGAAGTCTTCTTCCTTTTGTATTTCTTTACCCCATTTTCCTCCTAAGTATCACCTTTTACTAGATTTTGCTGGAATGGGGAAAGACAAACATTTTCTCCTGCTACTTCTGAAGAGACCTAATTTTCTCTGCCCTACGGTAGCTTAATTCCCTGCCAGTATCCCTTGCTCCCTCTGTGAGAACTTTCTTTGTGGCTTTCCCTTCTCCCTCTTCTGTGATTTTTTTTTTCTTTCAAAAAGCACAGCTGTATTTTCTGAGGGAGAAAATATTGTATTACAGTTGAAGTGTCTTGGTCCACTAATAGTATGTTAAAAATGTCTTTTCTCAAGACAGGATGTTTATCCAAAATGTTCTTTGAAGGTTTAAAATGAGAAGCTGCAGAAAAATATAAATGGATTATTCAGAAAATAAGTAAAAAAGGGATAATAAGGCCTAAAACTGCTTTTAGCTATCATATTTATACGCCTGTCTCAGAATTGCTAAATTTTTTATTAACAAATCTATTGGACTGAGCACATTTGAAATAAAAGGGGAGGAAGGTAATATACGAGGGGTGTGTGTGCGTGTGTGCGTGTATACGTGAGTGTTGTCTGTAAATTTATAAAAGGAGTTTCCAACGTTGAAGCTTAATCCCTCTTCCTCCTTTTCCTGTCCTCAAAGAAAACAAAACCCCCACATAGTTCTTTACTCTGTGGGAAGCCATGTGTACAGGCAATGAGAAGACTAGGGGTTGAAATTGGTCAGCACCGAGGGTGAGGCCGGGGCATCCGCAGTCACGTGGCCGCACGCCAAGGGGACCCTCTTCTCTGACAAGAGACCTACCCTCTCTCTGCAGAGGCTCCCAGGCCTGCTGCTACTTCTGAGATGTGTGTCAGTGGTGGACCATGACATTCCTCTACATACTCCCTCCCCACCAAGAGATCTTCTCAGCCATTTAAACCCATACCTGAACTGAATGGTCTTTAAAGTTGAGCGCCCGAACATGACCTATGGTGACGTTCATTTTAGGCCTGGGCAAAGAAATGTGCTCACCAGTTGGGCTTTCTTTTGAATCTGCATAGTAACTGAAGCAGGGCTCAGTCTCCACGACTGGCCATCATGGGTGTTCTTTGCCACCAAACACTGGCATTCTGTGGGGTTTCTATGTCTATTGGGAGGCAATGCCTACCTTTTATTTTTATTTAAAAAAATGGTTTTTACACATTTACTTATTTTTGAGAGATGGAGCTTGAGCAGGGGAGGAGCAGAGACAGAGGGAGACAGAGAATCTGAAGCAGGCTCCAGGCTCTGGGCTGTCAACACAGAGCCCGACGTGGGGCTGGAAACCATGAACTGTGAGATCATGACTGAGCTGAAGTTGGACGCTTAACTGACTGAGCCACCCAGGTGCCCCAGTGCTTACCTTTTAAATAGCATTTCCACCAACTACATTTATTTAAGCAAGTTGACACTTCATTTATGGTTCTATGTACTTATGCTCAGTGTGCATACTTGGGGCTATTTGTGTTTTGGAAAGGAAACCAGAATCAGTCTTTTCAAAATGCATGTTCTGGGGCGCCTGGGTGGCTCAGTCGGTTAAGCGGCCGACTTCGGCTCAGGTCACAATCTCGTGGTCCGTGAGTTCGATCCCCGCGTCGGGCTCTGTGCTGACAGCTCAGAGCTTGGAGCCTGTTTCAGATTCTGTGTCTCCCTCTCTCTGACCCTCCCCTGTTCATGCTCTCTCTCTTGGTCTCAAAAATAAATAAACGTTAAAAAAAATTTTTTTTAAATGCATGTTTTTAAACTGATCTTACAAGGAATGTACCTGAAGGCTTAAATGCTGTAAACTGTCCTGGAGGAGGAGCAGTAATGTCCCCCAAATTCACACTTTCCACACTAGACTGAAATCTTGAATTGATGGCATGTCGTCCTTGCTGTTTCCTCTTTCGGTAATTTTATGTTCTCCGTGTTTTATCCTGCTTTTCACTGAGTGACTCAGGCTCACTTTCCCAGAAATGGAAAAGCCATTCTTGTCTTCAGGAAACCAGAGAGTGACTGGAAGTGGCCGCCCCAAGAGCTTAAAAATTCTATTCCTGTTTATTTTTCTTAGGTAGCTCACAGACACCCCAAGCAATCTGTTAAGGAATGGCAGTCCCCACAGTGAGGTCAGCCTAGGACCCTCTGTTTTCTGTACTTCCCTTCCCTTCCCTTCCGTTCAACTTGCTCAGATTACCCATCTCCCATCGAAATGACTCCCACATTCTAGTAAGTTCTCATATTTTATCTTTTTGAATGTGAATATTTAATACTTCCAGCTTATTAGTTCTTATATTATTTTAGGTTCCAAATGAAAGGCTAGGTGACTTTGGGTGGTAATACTCTATTTAATCTACAGTCCATTTCAGAGACTTAAGTAGGCAAGAGCTTTAAAGATACATCTGAAGGAGAAGCAGGGAATTTAGTTCTTTCAATTGCCTATCTGTTTGCTCTATTCCATGTTCATTTGAATGCGTTAACTCACGAAAACCTAACCACAATTCTATGAGGTAGGTGATGGTAGTTTCATTTTAGAGACAAGGAAACCAGAGAGGTTTAATAACTTCCCCCAGGGCACACTGCTAATAAGAGACCTGGCTGGGATGTCAATCCACATCTGGTGAGCCCAAAGCACAGTGTTTTCTCAATAACATCACACCTGCTATATATTGAGGAAATGTGCCAGGCCAGTAGTGGAAATATGCTGGGGATGGTGTGAGAATGGACTGAAAAACTATCTCAGACGTAAACACCATTTCACATAAAAGAAACAAACACATGATAAAAGCAACTAAAAAAGCAATGGGCAGGAGATGGATCATTCAACAAATTCGTTTGGCACAGCTCAAAGGCGATCTTTTGACTGAGCACTTTAAATCTTCACAATGCACACTAAAATGAATTGTAAGTGAATTGGAGTTAAATATAAAAACTCAAACTGAAATCCATTGACGTAAATATTTATCAAATGGCTAGAGTTGGGAGGACTTTCTAAATTTGGGAGCAATAGAAAAATTGCAAAAGACACATTAACTAGATCTGACCTTTGTTTTAGGAAAGAAATGGTGTATATGGAAAAATGAGAGACAAATAATAAACTAGGAAAAATATTTTCAGTGAAAATGACAGACTTAGATAATGCTAACTAGGTGATAATGTCTTTAATATGTAAATAATTAATAAGTAATAAGCAGCAACTTAAGACCCCAATAAACAAATGAAGAAAGGGACCCAATTCACCAAAAAACCCAAATACATACAGTTCTTTTGAAACTTTTGACTTTGTGATACTTATAAATTCACAACAAAGTGCAAAGAAATGCAGAGGGAGGTCCCATCCACCCTGATGTACCCTCCCCTAATGTCAACATCTCTATAGGTTTTTTTTTTTTTTTAAGAAAAAATGTTAGACCTAATTCTTAACAAAGAAATGCAAATTACAACAATTTGTTTAACATACAGCTTTTCTAAATTATAGTATTCTATGCCCTTAAAGATATAGAGAAAACAGAGGTTCTTTTGTTAATGAAATCCCCAATTAAATCATATATGTATTACCTCTAACATTTTTAATAATTCTACTTCTGAGGACTGATTCTAAGAAATAGTGAGATACAAGTATTATCTCATTGTTTACAAGAGACATTTGCAAACATGCTCATGATCTTTACAAATTTGGAAATGCCCTTAATTTCTAATACATAAAAGTGTCACTTTGTGACACACATATATAACAGAGTAATATCTATGAACTAAAGTTAATGTCTCAAGAAGCTAACATCCTGGGAAAAAGTTCATAATATAATGTTAAATGAATATAGCAGACTATATAAAGACTACAGTGTGATCTAGTTTTTCAAACTTAAATCTGTATCTTTATATAATACATATACATGCATACACATATATGTACCATACACACACACACACACACACACACACACACACACACACACGTTTTAATAATAAAAAGTACACCAACAGGTTAATAGGGGCCACATCTGGGCAATGAGGCTTTAAGTGATAGGTATTTTATTTACATTTTTCTTTTTTTTCCATTTTAACATGTTACTCTTATCCTCAAGATAAATGTTAATTTTGAAAAAATGACTATGGTACAGTGTTGTTTAGGGAAAGTTTATAAATATATATTATATATAAATCAATGGACTGGGGAACATGTTCACTACTCAGTTCCATTTGCCCCAGTTTTATATATTTATATAAGTTTATATACACACACACACACACAATTATTTTAAAGCAAAGCTATATGTATAAAAAAGATGGGAGAGAAATGTATCAAAATGCTTATAGTGGTTTTAGCCACAATGAGATACCATCTTACACCTGTCAGAATGGCTAACATT